AACACCAGCTAATAAAATAGTCATGAAGAGAAGTGGGATATGGATAGACGTAGGGGGCTCTCCACTGCTTCCCTCCTGCACTTTAAAAAGACCCCTGGGGTGGTCTTTTTGCTAAGTCTTATAGATGATGGATGGATGAATGGATGGATGGATGGATGGATGGAGACAATAGGTAGACAGAAAAACAGACAGACAGACAGATATAGATGATATGTATACAGACAGAGATATTCATATATTCACTTAATTCACCTCCACTCAACTGATAAAACAAATGTAAGTAAAAACTTTCATTTTCTGCCATTTATGAAATCAATCTTACACAGAATGATCTGTCTAAGATTCCAATAAGCATAAACAATAAAGGCATCATTTGATCTCTCACCTGCTTGACTCTGGACCCTGTGGAATGGGCACTGAACAACCTTAAGTTCTAAAGGGCCCAGACAGAGAACACAACCTAAGTCTAGATAGTCTCTGAAGTACTCACTGAACTCTGAGAATCAGCTAACCAACACATGTTTCATTAGTAATATCACCACAGGTAATGTCATCCCAGAGAGTCTAACTTGTATCTAAAGATAGGGACCAATGTCTGTAGTTTCTAATCAACTGCTACTAAATATTGATTATTAAGAAAGGTACTCACAGAAGCTGACATGCAGTTCATATGGTTATGCTTACTTCACAAGCACAAACACCTGATCTTGACATCAAACACCTATGTGAAAAGTGTTGCACTGGGAGCGCCTGTAATCCCAAAGCTGGGAGGCAGAAACAGGAAGATCTGGGCTTTCAGGCCAGCCAGCCTAGCCCACTTGGCAAACTCCATGTTGAGTTGAAGACCCTGCCTCAAGTGAGAGGATTCCCAGCGTCAACCTTTGATCTCCACACCTGTACACATTCACACAAGCACATACAAAAACATGTGCACATAAGGACACACACATATACACATGATAAGAAAGGAACTCACACCATGGTCTAATAATCAAAGTTATATGAAAAGTTACAACTATTGCAATCGCAATAGTAAGATATTGAGAGTTACAGACGGTAAGGAAATAAAAGGGATTTCACCATGTGTAGAACAAAAACATTTTCTGAGTTCTATTCTCTAAGATACAGCAGAGGTCATCTGATATGCTGGCCACCATAATCACACTGGCACACTTATTAAATCCCCACATTGTAAGAAATCAATAAGAAATTAGAAGGCTCCAAGCAGGTTTCTAAGCAATCTGATGTGGGGATTTGGGAATTGTTTTGTTTGCTCTTTATTTTCCATTTTGAGTTCAGTTTGGGAAAACCACATGGCTTAATCTAATGTACACTCTCCCTTGACTTGAAATATCCTAGATGGCAGAGTCCATTGCAGTGTGCATACCCAGAGCACACAATGATTAACACAAACTGCTGAGATGTAGCACTTGCCATCTAAAAGGTAATTATTTTTTCTGAGATCCATAACAAATGACCATTGCATGGTTAAAACTTAAAAAGCACTCAGATTCACACCTTTGAACAAACTAACCTCCCCAAGCCTAATAGCTTTTTAGGAGCAAATTGATAGTGAAAGTAGTAAGCCCATTTCACAATTTATAAAATTAAACTGAGAATCCGAGCTCTCCTTCAGTGCAGAACCCAGTGCCCCCCTCTGGAGCATCCTAGCAAGGGCTGTTTGGGCTTCTTTATAAAGATGTGATGATAGCTATGACCGATGGGTTAACTCTGAACTAAGAGGAGGTAGAGTACATGCTGAAAAGAACATTCTCCAATGTCGGGATACCTCTGAAAGGCACCTGATTTTCAAAGGCATCCTTTGTAGCTGTGAAATTGTACTTTCTTCTCATTATTCTTCAACAACAATGCCATAAACTGAGAGGTTAGGCGCACAGCAGCTATTTGGGCTGGTCTCAACCTAGGTAGCTTTCAGGCTGCACAAGAGAAGCAGGTTCATGTGTCCACAACCAGGCAGGCATTCACTATCTGTTTTGATACTATAGGTTCACTGGAAAATTCATCTTGAGTTTCCACTTGCTTAATGAGAAAACACATACACACACACACACACACACACACACACACACCTGCCACAGAGCTAGCACTCCTAGCCCCTGAGAACATGTACAAGGTGCACAGAGAAACCTGGGCACAGTTCTGCCAAGCCAGATTAGCCCTGGGACTCATCACACATGGGATAGGCTTGGCTTCATTATATCCAGATGGCCTGGACAGGGGTGTTAATCTACAAAGTCCAAGAAAATATCAAAACCATTCTGTGTAGATAAAATCGACTTACAGCTACTGCACAGATGAGAGGAGTGTGAGATTCCTAGGACTGAGGCCCATCATGAACAACATAACTTAAAACTTCTGTAAATAAATTGTTTCATCTCCTTGAGCCTCATTTTCCCCCTGCCTGCTTATAAAATGTTGATCATACTAGCCACTAACTGAGGACTAAGGAAAAAAGAAATATAGCAAAGGTAGGTTCTCAATAGAATACATAGAGGCTGGCAGGAATCGGAAGAAGATGGCAGACTATTCACAGGCATAATCAATCCTTGGGTTTTTATAATAAACTGGATACTTTAGCATTCTAGAAGCACATACCCTAGCAAAGTACAGCAGGGTTCATATAGCAGTTCACATGGTCATGTAGCAATTCACAACTGGGATTTTCTAAACAGGACAACTTTAATAGAGAATAGCCATGCAAGATAACTAGTCTTAAATTATCTTTAAATTTATTTTCACTTAGTTATAAGTTACAGCTATATATAAGTAGCTTTCAGGCTGCACAAGAGAACCTGGTCCATGTGTCAACAGCCAGCCAGACATTCAGTGATTCATTGTCTGTTTTGAGGTTGTGGACTCACTGGAAAATTCACCTGGAGTTTCCACTTGCTTAATGAGAAAAAAAAAAAAAAGACCTGTCACAGAGCTGAGAGTTCCCAGCCCCTGAGAACAAGTACAAGGTGCACAGAGAAACCTGGATATGGTTCTGCCCAGCCAGATCAGCCTTAGGACTTCTGTGTGTGTGTGTGTGTGTGTGTGTGTGTGTGTGTGTGTGTGTGTGTGTGCGTGTGTGTACCATATATATAGTTTTATGTATAGTTATAGAAAGTGATGGCTTTGCTGAAATTTATGTCAGGTTTTATTTTTTGCATAACTATAAAACGTAGGATTAACAGAATGGTTCAGGTGGTAAAGGTGTTTTGCCACCAAATCTGATGACCCATGTTCAATTCTTGAAACCCACATGGTAAAAAAAAAAAGGTAACTGACTCCAGAAAGTTGTCTTCTGCCCTCCACACACATGTCATTGTATGCACATACATACATACATACATACATATGCAATGTAATTTTTTAAAGAGGAAGAGAGAAAGAAAATGTTATGAGCACAAATAAAGCCATTCTTGGTTCTCTTATTTCTTTTCCTTCCTTCCCTCCACTCCTCTGGGAGATGGGTATGTCTTTATGGTATAACTGTCTTCAGGTGTTTTGTAAGTATGATTACATGACTAATATGTCGCGTGAGTATTCTTATGACATTCTATCCTACTCAATGGATTATTTTGCAAGTTCATTTTATCATCTAACATTATGTTGATAAGATTTATTTATGCTGAAGCATATTAGAATCCATTAAGATATAATTGTTGTATACCATTTGAGTCTACTGCAACTTAACCATTCCTCTATATGTGGGAAATTAAGTGTTTCCTACATTTTCAATTTTAAAAAATTATGCTGCAATGAGCATTGCAGTTTATTAATCTTAGTTCTAGGATATGTTCTTAACAACATATTGCAGAGTAGGTAGTGTTTCTTGGTTGTCAGTGTGTGTCCCTAGTTTTTTTGCAATGGAATTGTACCTGTGTTCATTCCCACTAATCTTCGGGTGCATGTCCTTAGAAACGCATTAGCATTTTGATCTGTTTTACATGTTTGCCTGGCTACAAGGGGAAGGATATAAGAAGAGTAATCCAAGCATTCCTGGAAATAGTAGAGGAAATAGAGCCCCAGACTTGCAGCTGAACCATATGGTTCATTTAGAACCATTTCCTACTGTGTTATGTCAACATGCGGTATTTGCATCTATAAAGACAAAGGACTTCTAGTAAGTGCCCTTTGTTAAGAAGTCCCAGGTGATTGTGACAGAGAAGCCCAAGAACCACATTCCAATGAAGAGTCAAAGTCACACCTAGGATGGGGCTGGATGGTCAGGGCCCTCTGGGCCCCTCACAATCTCAGCTCTATAAACAGCCAGCAAGACTGAGGCCCAGAAACTGTATAATGCATGGTATAATCCATTTGAATGACTCCTAGCTGTCTCTCCATGGAGGTCTTCGGTGATACATTTTGCACTCCCAGATGTGAATCGGGAGGAGGGGTTTTGGAAAACTCTGTTGGGCTTGATATAAAAGAGTATGGCCCCAACAAAGCCTCACCCCTGCTCTTCGGTGATTAGGACAACACAAGCATCCATCACCATGCCTGAGAGTCCTAGCAGTCTGTGAGGAAGGAAAGCACTCATCATTGCAAGAAAAGCCTTTCTGCCTTCTGCTGTTGCCCCAAACCATACATAGGCAGGGCTACTCTTCTGTTTGAGTTTAAGAGATAACGTGGGTGCTGAGGAGGTAGGCACTCATGGGTGACAGCATCATGACTCACACAGACAACAGTGTGAGACCACACATAGGACACAGCCCTTGCCTGTCTCTTCCTCCTACCTTTTCAAGCTGACTTTTTGAGAACTGCCTGATAATGGAGGCCTTTCCCTCATAGGCAACTGGTCCCCAATGCTGTTCCTCCTTTGTGTCATGCAGAAGCTCTTACAGCATCTTTCCCAGACCTGACTGGAGGTACTGATGGCAAGGGAACCATGAGCTTGGATTCCCAGCCTTACAGAGCCATCATTAGCAACAATTTCTATCATTAGTGGTGACCTGCCAGTGCCCTGGGTCATGACTAATTTTTCTCACCTCCAGGTACCAGCAGTGCTGAAGTGAAGGAAAACCGAAATGTGAGCAACCTGGGGACTAGGCCTCTGCCCCCTGGAGACTGGGCCAGAGGCAGCATGCCCAGCATTAAAAGGAAAAGGCCCTTGGAGGAAGGAAATGCGGGGCATTTCTGCAAACTCCAGCTGATCTGGAAGAAGCTCTCCTGGTCTATGACACCCAAGAATGCGCTGGTCCAGCTGCATGAGCTGAAGCCGGGTCTTCAGTACCGGATGGTGTCACAGACTGGCCCAGTGCACGCCCCAGTCTTTGCAGTGGCTGTAGAAGTGAACGGACTCACGTTTGAAGGCACAGGACCCACTAAGAAGAAAGCCAAGATGCGGGCAGCAGAAATGGCCCTGAAGTCCTTCGTGCAGTTCCCCAATGCATTCCAGGCCCACCTGGCCATGGGCAATAGTACTAGTTCATGCACTGACTTCACCTCTGACCAGGCCGACTTCCCTGACACTTTGTTCAAGGAGTTTGAACCATCCTCAAGAAATGAGGAATTCCCAAGCTGTCGTCCCGTCGACACTGAATTTCTGTCCTCCGCCTACAGGCGAGGACGGCTGCTTTGCCACACACTGGACCTCATGGGCCAGGCTCTGCCTGACAGGTCCAGGCTGACCCCTGGGGCCCTGGGTGAGAGGAACCCTGTAGTGGTGCTGAATGAGTTACGCTCAGGTCTGCGGTATGTGTGCCTCTCGGAAACAGCCGAGAAACCCCGAGTCAAGAGTTTTGTCATGGCTGTGTGCGTGGACGGGAGGACATTCGAAGGCTCTGGACGCAGCAAGAAGCTGGCCAAGGGCCAGGCAGCACAAGCTGCCTTGCAGGCCCTCTTCAACATCCGTCTACCTGGCCACATGCCCAGCAGGAGTAAAAGCAACCTCTTGCCACAGGTGAGACTTCTCAGGTAGCTGCCTGTCAGGTGAAAAGATGGGTGTGCATTGGGATAGTCTTGCTGTGATGGGAGAGGGGGTCTGCCCCCACCCCATTGTCTATGAGCAGAGTATGATGAAACACTGGCCTTCCTGAAAAGACCCCTTTCCTAAGCACATAGAGGGAAATTGCCAGGTTTTGTGGAGGGAGAATTGTGGGGATATTTAAAAAGTCAAGAGATCATCGACACAGCAACTGAGCAGAAGTAATGATAGAATTCATGAAGCTAGGCAACTTTCACAATGATGGAATCAACCACTAGGGAGGAAAGACAACCAGGATCACAGCAAACATGTGGAACCAGCCGAGGGCAGGGTCTTCTGTTCCCATCAAGAGGCCCAGGCTGCAGGACCTCAGGATTCATTTGCCAGGCCCTCCAATAACTTAGAAAGTGGGGAATCAAGAAGAAAGAGGTGTGTTGGTTGGTGGCCTAGACTGAGATTCTAGTTAGATACTCTAGGCAAACCAAGTTGTGGATTGTCTCATTGGGAGTGGCCAGGACCTCTATAATTATGGTTTCCAATCATGTAGAAATTTCTCCCAGCAAGACACTAGCACAGACCAAGAGTCATAGGAATAAAAACTTTCTGGAGGCAGAAAAGTTAGAAATGAGAATTAGGAGACTCGATATGATTCAGTTGGTCTAGGGCTTGCCCAGCATTCATGAAGCCATGGATTAAATCCTCAGCACTGCATGAATCAGGAATTGGTGGTATACATCTGTAATCCCTGCACTAGGGAGGTAGAGGCAAGAGGATAAAGAGTTCAACGTTATCTTCAGCTACCTAGAAGGTTCACATTCAGCTTGGCATGTATGGAAAAGGAAAGAAGGAATGGAAGGAGGGAGGGAAGAAGGAAGAGGGGGTGGGAGTAGAGAGAGAGACAGAGAGAGGGGGAGGGAAAAGCAAAAGGAAGACAGGATCTCTCCATACACAATGGTGGGTCTGCTTTCTTTTTTTTTCTTTCTTGATTTGATACTGTGGTTCAAACCCATAGCCACTTACACATTAGACAAGTGGTCCCTCTGAGATATATCCCCCAGCCCTGTGGGTCTGCTTTCTTACAAAAGTTTACATTCACTTGTTTAAGGCGCCTTTGTAGCACTGCCTATGTGACAAGAACTATTCTCACACCACTTAAGACAACCTTACTCTGCCAAGTTCTATAATTGCTTATTTATGCAAATTATCTTTTCTCTTATCACTTTGAGACTTATTTGTAGGTCTCTCTAATGTAGTCGATACAGAAAATTATTTTTATTCATTCTGCACATCAATCAAGGAAAGAAACACTTTACATAGTTAAAAGGCACTTAGCCCCGTGCAGGATTCATCGTAAGTACTTAATAACTGTGAGTTATTGCTGTGATCGCCACCATTGTGACATCATAACACCTGGAATAGAATCCATTATTTTGCCTTGGGAGATCAAGAATCCATAAAGGATTCAGAGTGCCATCAAAACCCCAGATACTGCTCAGGGATATGTGTAAAGCCACAAAGAGTATAAAGGGATCTTTCACCTTGAATAATAACTGGATAGAGCATTCATTTATCCACTCACTCATCCCATATTTATTTGACTCTAAGTAGACATAGGATGCCACATTAGATGTTCTTTGTGTATGTGCATATGAATGTGCTTACTGCATATGCATGTGTATGTGTTTGGGTGTGTACATGTGTGGGTGTGCACGTACCAGTGTGTGCATTCATATAGAGGCATGTCAGAGATCAATGTGGTATGTTTCCTCTATCACTTGCCACCTTAGATTTTGAGGTTTATTCTTAACTATGTGTGTATGTAGGTGCTATGCACATGACTGCAGTAATAACAAGTGCAGAAGAAGGACTTAGATCTGGAGTTACAGGTAGTTGTGAACCATGTGATGTGGGTTCTGGGAACTAATGGAGGTCTCTGCAATAGCAGTATGCACTCTTAGCCACTGAGCCATCTCCCCAGCTCCTTGACCCTATTGATTGATACAGAGTCTCTCATAGAACCTGAATATCAGCAATTTGGCAAGACTAGTTGCCCAGCATGCCTCAGTAGTCCGTCTGTTTCTACCCCACTAAGACTTGGATTATAGACACATGCTACCATTCCCTGTTCTGTTTTTATGGGCATGCTGATGGTCCAAACTTTGGTCCTCATGCTTGCAGAAAGTGCCCTTTATTGACTGGAACCATCTTCCCAGCCATAAGATGCCCTGATTTTCACAAACCTTGGGTGAGGGAAAAGATAAACTATAAGAGTCCCAGTTGAGGGATGGTGGCTTTCCCTGCTCTATCTACCGGCCTTTTCATTCACTTCACCTCAAGGATTTATTGCACATGCAATAATCTCTTTAAGGAGCAGATGGGAGTGGGTAGACCACAGATTTCATTAGTCTTGCCTTTCAACTTATGCTCAAATAAATGCATAACCCCAGTGAAAACAGTGTACTGGGGAAAGAAACAGGAACACTTTTTCTAGATCCACACTTGTGCACTTACTAGCAAGGAACTCTATGACTTGCTTCCTCTCTTTTCTATGCCTCTGTCCTTTTATTTTTCTGACTTCTTCCCACTCTACCTCTCTGCTACCCAGGATCAAACTTGCAGAACAACCATGGAAGCAACCTCCTCTCTACTGCCGCGCCCGACTTGGGCTGCACAGAAGAGTGAGCCCATGACCTTTTGCACTAGCTTGATCAGCTCATCTCTCTTGCCTCCTTATTTGAGAAAGCCCCATCTGTGATTGTGGGCATGCCCCTTCTGTTGTCTCACTCTACTGCAGCTGGATGCCACTTTGCAGGAGGGCTGGAGCTATCCCCAAGGCTCCCAGACAGGCCTGGGATTATCTATTTACTAAGACACCCACCCCATCTCTCTCTTCTGCTTTTCACTGTGTGAAATTGAAGGACGTCAGTGAGTTCTGGGTGTGATGCCTCCTTCTTTCATGTTGTCAACTCTGAGCTCTCACAATGGAGAAGCCAGGCAGCGCTACTACTTTGTAATAGTCATTTGACCCCAGAATGCAGCACATCCGTTAAAGCCATGGATGCTAAATTATTTTTCTCTGACAGTCTGCTAACCACTCCGACTGGATGATGAAGGGCATGGAGCAGCTCGAGGGTTGCGGGCCATTTATCACACCACAGCAGTACAGCCATGCCAGGGGCTCATTATCCTCTTGCCTCAGCCCCCTTGAAAAGCTCACCCCATAGCTGGGTAGGGGCCAAACATAACAATGGGAATCAGGGCTGATGAAATTTGAAGCCTGTCCTAGACAGGGTCTGAGTTCAGGGAAGAATATATGAAAATAAGCAACTTTAAAGTTTACCATAAATGCTGTTCTGTCTTCCTACTCAGCCTAAACCCTTTCCTTCTAGGAACTGTATTATCTCAGAACCACTGACAATACATCACAGGATCTCTGTCTATAGATCACAGAAGTCCTAGCTATAGACTATGGAACCCTTGTCTACATGTAATGCAAACCTCTGTTTCTGGATTCTGAGTGCCTCATTCATAGATCACAGATACTCCATATACACAGATCACAGAAAATCTATGCACAAATATTAGACCCCTGTCTATACATCATGGGATCCGCACCTATATTTCAAAGCCTTTCATCTATAGATCATGAAACTTCAGGAAAACTGTATCTGTGAAATGCATAATTCCCTGTGTATAGACCATAAGGCTCCATCTGTAGATCAGGGAACATTTCATATATACATCATAATACCCCATCAAGACATCATGGAACCTTTCTCTATACTTTGTGTACTACAGTCTATTCATCATGGTGCACCCATCTAACTATCAGGGAAACTTCCCATAAATACTCTGTCTCTCATCTAAGGAGGATAGAATCCTTCACTTATACTTGATAAATTTCCCTCCTTGATTATAATATACATCGTGAACACCACAACCTCATTCTTCTAGGATGTTCTAGTAAACACTTGGTCCCAAGGCACCATGACTCTAGAGTTTCAGGTCTCTAGAAATGTGTCCTTTTGCAATCTTTGTCTGACTGTTCTGCTAGCACTGCCATGGGTACAGGAAACCAAACATCACAAAACCATTGCATGGTCTGTCAGAACAGGGCACTTTCCACCTCCCCTGAACAAGCACACTTATTCAAGATTTTGCTTTGAGAACCTTGTACCAGTGCAATTTCTGGAGCTTGGACAGTCATACCAGTATTTAATGTCATCTGCCCAATTGCCCATGTTCTTCCCCACTTTCAGGATGGCAAAGACACAAATCTTATTTCATATAAGATAACTAGATGTAGTTTGCTCAGTGCTTTAACAAAAAACTAGCATTACAAACAAGGCTTTAAGCCATCCTAGTAGGAATTCTCTTAATTATGTGATAGGCTTTGAAACAAATACTTAATGTGTGCCAGTGCTTAAGAATATCACAAAAGCATGTTTTAAGATGCAGCTGTTGAGGCTGGAAAGATAGCTTGTTTAGTAAAGTCATTGTCATTCAAGCAAGAAGACCTGAGTCTACCTCCAGAAGTCATTTAACAAGAATGGCATGTTGGTGTGCCCTAGTAATCCCCAGGGCTCAAGAACCAGAAAAAAATGTATCCCTGGATTTGCCAGCCAGCCAGCCTAACTAAATCAGTGAGTTCCTAACCAAGAAGAAACCCTGTCTCCAGAAACAAGGAGGAAGTAGTCCTGGGGAATATCACCTGAAGTTGACCTCTGCTCTCTACACAAAATGTCACACACTTGTATCTACACACACACACACACACACACACACACACACAGGACACAGCTGAGAATCTTTTTTTAACTTTTTAAAAAATTTTTTATTTGTGTCTTTCACATCATGCATTTCGATCATTTCCAGTCCCTGCATATCCACCTTATATGCTTGCAACCCCCTCCCCCACCCTGATAAAATTTAAGAGAAGAAAAGAAAAGAAAAAAAGGGGGTAATCGCATCTTGGA